CTGCTTCATGCTATACCGCAGCTCTGACCAAATCTTACATGCGTCCCTTGACATGCAGAAGTAGGGACAATTATGGCTATAGATGGAGAGATGTACTGCTTTCACACTATAATCTTTCAACATATTATTACAGATGAAATGTCGTCATTCAACTTAAAAAAAAAAAAAAAAGGAGTGACAAAGGGAAAAGCCAACCAAGAGAGTGGTTGGAAAAGCAGATTTTTTTCTGTCCTACATCAGGAAATTTGTTTCTGTTTTGTGTTGTTTTCATTGTCATTGGTTCATAACCTTTTCAGTACACATGCAGGACAACTGCTTCACAGTCAATAGGACTAGGAACTGCCTTTATGAAACCTAGACCTTATCCTGAAAATGGTCAAGATCAGATTGGACAGGGCTCTGAGAAATCTGATCTAGTTTAAGATTTTCCTGCTCATTGCAGAGGGGTTGGACTAGATGATCTTTAAAGGCCCCTTCCAATCTAAACTATTCTATGATTGTATGTATTTCACACGATGTCTTGTGTCTGTGGGCTGTTACTGTGAACTCAGCAGTACCAGTGAAGGACGCTTAGCCCCAGGAGCTAAGTTGCCTCTGTGTTGTGTGTAATTACAGGTAGAATTTCAGAGAGGGGAAAAAGAGACCCAGGTCATGGATATAAAGAAGGGTCCACATCAAAATTTCCCAAAGCTTTAAAGCCACCCACCTTCACCGTTCTTATTCTGTAAGATTCAACATATTTTTCATCCATGATCAACACTTGAATTCCATCTGCTTTTTTCAAGGTGACTAAGTAATGGGAAAGAAAAATGGAATTGAGGCCCTTGCTCTTTTGAGAACTCATAGCAGCCCATCCACCTTTAGTACTGCTGGGTGCAATTCCTACTTTGAGGGTCAAGTAGCTGTTGCAACATCTTTGCCAGTGGTCCCAGGTAAGGAGTCCCTGTGCAGACCTGGCTCTTTCCCACTCCCCATGAATGGCACTTCCACACAGAAATGCCTTTTGCCACTGCAGAGAGATCCCGAATGGTCTGTGGTAAAGGCAGAGATTCCCTCCTCAAATCCTGCTGGAGTGCCCCGTTCCCATAACTTGGTAAATGGGACTTAATTAATAGGGATTCCCTTTAATTGTGACTATTTTGTTTACAATAAACTCAGACTAGAAATATAAGCAAATCAACTGCTTTTAGCTTGTTAATTGTGCTAGCAGGTTGCACTGTTAGAAGCCACAAACATTTGCATGTCACATCCAGTCATGGGCTCAGTAACCTTTTGGCAGAGAGATGGATAAGAAGGACAGATTGGATAACGTTTGCTCCATCTAAAGCCAGGTGTATGCCCATTTCAGAGACTGACTGACATGCAACATACAGAATACCTGCAGTTGCCTCTTATCTGGGTAGCAATGGATGCTACTGAATTAAACCATGCAAAAACACAAAGCGCCTAAACTAAGGTTAGAGGTATCATCTGTAGCAGAGCTGTTTATATCGCTTCAGCTGTACAACACTATAAGAAAACCACTGGGGTTTCTTCAGGGGAAATTCAGAGACACAATAAAAGTATCAGATGTTTCTGAAGCAATTAAATATTTTAAAAGGTAATATAAGCAATCCATAAAAATTTTCAGCAATTCAGAGGTTACACTGCCATATGATAGCCACACTACAGAATGTCCTTCTTATTCCTGCTCTGGTTCCACAGATAAGCATTAGATGATGCATGTTGAAGCTGTCATTTGCAAAGCTGAAGATACATAAAGGACTGAGTTCAGTTTTAAGACAGAAGTTACCTGAACAGAGAACAGAGCAAAAGAATGAAGCTTTCAGGAGCTGACTGATGTGAAAAATTTCTTCTCTCAAAAGACAAGTATTATCCAAGAAGTTGGGCTAAATTTAAAAATTAATAATAAAAAAAGAAAAATACAAACCACATTTTTCAACAATATAAAAGTATTCTGCATGAAGAATGCTGTGCCACAGGAACTCCTCAGTGGTACAGTGGCAGAGTGAGAGCAGAAGTAGGGAAGGAGAGAAACAATTGGTTGCCACAAAAGAGATCGTTTCCTGCATTTTCCCTTCCCAAAACCTTCTCTGTTTGCAGTGACCCTGGTATGGTTTGAAGCTGGCTCCCTGCCAAGTCTCCAAACCTTACCACAAGAAGTAACGCCCCCCCAAACCTCAGGGAGAAGAGGGAGAAAAACAACCAAGGAAACCTGAAACGAGAGAGACAGCTACAGTGATATATATAAATATATATAAATATATTTACACTTATGTTACAGGTATATACAATTGAAATATATATATATACAATTTCACAAGGGAATGGGAAGGGGGAAGGGAAAAGGAACAAAACCAAAATAATACATATATATATCCCAATTAGCATCCCAATATCTATCCACTAAAAGAGTTAGCAAAGAAATATCTCACTACTCTCCTTGGGACAACCGAGAGTCGCTCCGGAACGATCGCCGGCAACCTCCGTCTCCCAAGGTCAGCAAGACCTAACCAGGCCTCGCTCCCCAACACGGCAGACTCAACAGCAGGGAACCTGCACCTCCAAGCCGCCAGAAGGAAAGAGAGCGAAGGCCTCTCCTCCTTTCTTCTTATAGCCTGGCTTACGTAAAAATCGTAGGGAATACTGGGTAAATCTGGGCCCTTCCTTGGTTACAAACTGGTCACCAAGGAAGGCCTAGCCCAAACCACCACAGACCCTCATCTGAGGAACCTGTGAGCCTTTCCCAACCTCTTAATCCTACTGACTTTTTAAAAAAGGACATTGAGATGTCTGCTTGAGACCTCTCTCCTTCCCTTGACTTATCAGTGCCACCGTTCCTGGGGATAGCTTTAAGCCCTTTCTGTAGTGGCATTTGTACATGAAAAGTAAGTTTCACACTCTGAAAGCCCAATGAAAGGCCAGTAGTCCTTACTGTGTCCTGTGGGCCAGAGCTGAGTTACTACAAAAAATATAGTCATCCTCCAGTCTTACTCTATCTGGTGCAAAACGAATTATTCTTCATCAACTTCATGGTCTTCAACCTTGAAAAAGTGAATTTGTCTGGTCTTTATGCAAATTAAGTTAATTTCACCCCCAGGTGAAAGGTTTCATGTGACAGGGCTTTTAAATTTAATCTTTTTTCTTCAAACTGTCTGTTATCTTCTACTTAAAAACACACACTGAATATTAAGTTTGGGCTTACTGCAGCTATTAATCATTCAGCTAAATAAAACCACTAGGAAGCTCTGAATAGCTGTAAATAAAATAATAGCTTTGCCACCTGCTATTTCTTTGTTCCATGCAGACTGGATATAGAGTGAAAGACAAAATAAGAGCTGTCACATAGTTTAGGAAATTTTTTGCTAGTTTTGCATTAAGCTACAGAAACATGATCCTTATACACGATCTATTATTACTTAATGATATTTTGCATCCTCTCCTAGACATAGCTTGCTTGCTGCTGTGTTCTAGTCTCTCAGGGCTGCTTTACTTAGTAAGTGTGTCACATAAAATGCTTATAGGGCATTCTTTTCTCAAATAAATTACCAAAAGGACCACAGTCGGCTTTCTCACCTGGCGAATCTCATGATCTTCAACTACGGTATTACACAAGCAATCAACACAACTTAATCTATCATTTGCAATTAGGCACTTGCATCTGAAGCAGATGTGGCAGGGGTGGTAACTGTACCCTGACCTACTTTGATAGAATTCTTGACCCATTCTTCAAATTAGGTACTAAAATAACCCTGAAGACATTTTGCTCAATGTTCAAGAGCAGAAATTATCCATGAGTTCATTCCCTGTGAAGGAAACTTCTTTAATACATAGCTACTATCATTCAGGTGTCCCTGTCTATGTCAAGGGGGCTGGAACTAGGTGATCTTTAAGGTCCTTCCCGAGCTAAACCACTATCATTCTATGATCTCTCTCTATTTTTGGGGAATATTTTCTTCTGTGCTTTGTCCTTTCTAACTCTCTCTACTGTTTTCCTTTCTCACTTAAAGTTTATCCTTTCCTATGATGCTTTCTTCATTCTTCTTACCTCTACTATTCATAATTATCTCTCTCAGGCCGGTGAAAAACTTAGGGGTTGTGTTACTAGGCAGAGTAATAAACCCTTATGACTTTTCCATGCAGAGCATTTGTTAGTTCATTGGTTTGTTGGTTTGTTGGGGTTTTTTTTCAGATGTGTGAGATAGATAAGATTTCATTGCTGTTTCACCATACAGGTAGAAACTTGCTAATGGAATGCAAAACCAGGAAGATCAATCTAAGACTGACTTTGCAATTGACAGCTCAAAAATAGTTTTCCTGGACCTTTGCAATTTCCTACCTGTTTTTTTCCCTTGATGGTGCCTGTCTTTTCCCAGACTGCTATGTATATTCCTTCCTAAACCTGAGAGGAAATAATTTCTGTAACACTGTTGATTACAATATTCATTTTCCTAACTTTTTGCTTTTTCTCTTTATTATGAAAATAAATTTGGTGAACTCAAGGACCAGCAAGCAGCCCAACCATTTTCATGTTTCTCCTAAATCAAAGTCATTGTCTTAGCTCAGCTCACCTACTCACTTATTTACCAATCTTTCATGTACTTAACTGTCTTCCTAATCCACTGATTATGTTATGTTAGCCCAGAAAAGAAGAGGGTGTCAGTATTGGAATGTTAACTTCATCTGATCACTCAGAGAATTGCACTGTAATGATCCTCTAATTACAGAGCTGTCACGCTGTATTAAATCCGTTCTGTATGTGCTGTCAACTGTTTACATTGTTCTGCATGCCCCAGACTTCACATTTCCAAATATACTACAGTGATAGCTGACAACAGCATTGATAGATGTAATGAACAGTATATGGTTGTGCTGAACAAGTGAAAGGACTTTGAACATATTTGAAGTTTGAGAGCAAGCTTATATTATCACAGAAGTTTTGATCAGTGTGTATTTCTCTATAAATCAGTTCATTCTTGTTTTTCTGCTTTTTTCCACAGTGGTTATGTCTTTGATTATGATTACTACAGAGATGATTTCTACAATCGGTATGTGTGGCTATATTTTTGTACATCCTACACCATTGCTACTGTTTGTTTATAATGTAGTCTCATCATTTGGTCAAACAGGTCAGTTCTGATTTTACACATTATTCGTTTCATTATTTCCATTGTGTATCAGAAGACTATTTGAATATATCAAAACCAGAGAAGATTACCACCACCAAATGTATGCTTATTAAACAGCTCTTTTAATTTTATTATTCTCTAAGAGCTTTTGGAGCATTTGCTGTGCTGAATAGTTTAATAATAGTTTAACTGCTCACTGTTTCTTCCTACAGAGTTCTTCCAGGCCTACTTTCACTGCAAAACATAGCGTCTGTAAAATTCTTCAGTATGACATTCATGTCTTTGTCTTTTCATCCATACATATGAAAAGATATAGAATGTCTCCTGAAGAATGTTCTGAGAACATTTAAAAATCTAGAAGAACCTTGAGGGAAGCAAAAGCACAAGGTGAACCACAGGTGTGTTTCTATAGGAGGAAAAGAATTTGAATACCTGAGCAATTGGAGATTCTGCCTTGAGTACATGCACACAACCTAGCTCAGCACTGTGAAAATTTGTTTATTCAGATATTGCAGAATCTCCACAACACAGGGATAGCATGAATGATCATAAATAACCAACTCATCATCCAGCGGTGCTGTGTCTCTGCATTACAGCAGCTTGGTTTAGCACAGGCCAAGTGAGTCAGAGGGGAACAAAACATTGCTCCACCAATGTCTTCTAATTTGAGAATTCTTTTATATGAAGCAATGGACAGTAGCAGGGGAACAGTTCACACCCGGAACTTAAGTTAGCATGTGCTATATACCTTTCAGCTTAGGAACACAGTGAGAAAAATATAAAAAATATTTTTCAGGTTTGTTTTTTCCTGGGGTTGATTCAATTTGAGCCACTACTTTTGGTATTGCATGTAAATCACCATGGCCCCTTTGTACAAGCTAAAATTAATGAGATAGAAACATATGGAGTGAAAGCCATCAATGCAGTTTAATTCCACTCAGTCCATCCTTTACAGTAGGAGCAGCTCATGTCCTGTAAAAAGTTACCTTCCCAAGATTATTGTGCTGAACTTCATCAGTGCAATTGTATGTTTTTAAACATCGTGTTTCATATCGATGACACATGAATATTAAAGTTATATGTGTTTTGTTTTTTCCCTTATTCTGTATGTTATGGGTAGAACAAATGGCCAACTATAATGGTTACACTTTCACAATGAAAGAAATATTTATGGTAGATTAAAAATTGTCTCTGTGGAGCCTGCTGTCTGTCTTGGTGATTGTGTTGTTATGGAAAAGCACTGAGAGTGAAATGTATCCATAAATCTATTTAATAGTATGATTTTCTAATTTAGAAATCTTTCAGGATTAAGAAAGCAGAAACTTTATGATAGAAAACCTAAATATGATAGAAAACCAAAATATGTCCAACCTCACAAGGCTGGACATACTGATCTTCTGACAATAAAAACCATAGGACCTTTACCAGTCTCTGTTAAATACAAGTTAATGGAAGGGAAAGATGAAAAGCTCTATATAGTAGTCATGGAAAAGAAAATCTCATGGAGAATACAACATATCAAGTACCAACATGTCTATAGGAATATAATTTAAGATTTATAGTCATGATTCTTTGAATTTTTGAACTTTTGAACTTCTGAACTTCCTGAATTTTTGTGTTTTACCCCAAACCATAGATCTTGTTTTCTAATATCTATTAATTTTCCAACTTCTCTGAAGGTAGAATACTTCTATCTTACCTTGACTAAAGCAGTGGTAGGGTCAGAAAAGGGTGACAAGAATGGCTAGTGCTCTAAAATAAAATCTATATGAAGACAGATTGGCAAGATTGGGATTGTACATTTTAGAAGGGTGGCTGAAACAAAAGGTACAATTATGTGCATATTAGTGATTATTGGGGCAAAGAATTGCTTTAGAACTGAGCATTTCTGTTTACCATTCCTCCTATTACAAGCACAAGGAAAAACAGGCAGGGTACTTCAAAACTTATAAATGGAAGCATTCTTTTTTAAAAGAAAGTGTATTATTGAAATGTATAGAACTTGGTAAAACAAAACACCAAGCCCAAAATCTGCATAAGTTCAGAAATAAGTGTAGGAATAGATAGATAACAGTTCTATATATATTGAAGAAAAGGAAGTATAGTTTCACATTTCACTATATTATCTAAACATGAAACACTGGAAGCCATAAAAAAATCACTTTTGGAGGAATAATCACATGATGAACATGTGCATGATAGCTTAAAGTTCTTCTGAAACATTTTTTCAGTAATGTCAAACAGCAGATAGTCACCAACCTGCAGATCATCCAATATGATAAGTGATGTGTGACAATAAACACTATTATTTACATTAAAAGTAAAAAAAAATGTTTCCATGTTCATCTTCATACACAGTTATTTAGTTATGCTCACAGTGGCTAGAAACTGCTTATTTGTGAGAATATTTGAGGCCATGGAGTTCATGTTCAGTGGGGGTGACAGGATCTCTGTGACACATTTTGTAGACAACTACAGAAAAAGAGGGAGATGGTTACATTTTCTGTAAGATTACAGTATAGACAGAAGTAAGGAACCTAGGATTTAAACACTAAGTGTTTACTTGACAGAAAATGAGTTAGAAGATTTAAGTTTGATTCTGCTTCCGTTTGAGCACATTGTTAGATGCTGTGGTGAGTGAATTACTGTTTCTTGTGTGCCTGTTTTCAAGTGTGTATCTGTAGTTTTTATTACCTTTTCTACTGCCTTTATTTTCTTCTACAAAGGCTAGTTATCTGCTATTGATAACTTTATTTTTAGGACTGGGCAATTCTGTTTGGCAATAATAGCTCATTTTTTTATAGAGCATCTTTCATTGGCTGTAGTGGTAAATCTCTGAATATCTACCTGCTAGTGGTTTTGATTTGAACAACACTTTTTTTTTTTCTAGTTAAATATGCTTGGGTATTTTATTGTTTTTGCACTAATTCACTCTTCAATAATGAGAACATATGCAAAGACTCTTGCTATTTTACAAACTGCAGGATATTTTTTTATAGAGATGGTTGTCTTCAGAAAAGTTCTTTTTCACTTTTTACATCTTTAAAGATAGCAGATAGAAAACTGGAATTTAAGTCATGCATGTAATAAAGGACCTGCAATATCACAACAAAATGTACTACTGTTGGCTGTGTGCAATGAAACGATGTGGATCTGTGGAAAGCAGGTTATGGATTTTCCATACTGCAAATAACAGAGTCCTATAATGAATCCTTTATTTAAATCATGCAAAAAAATATGACCAGAGCTATGCACTGGTCTGTGACTGAAATCTGAATAAGGCACTTAATGTGTATAGATCCTTGAAATGTAATTTGACTGTGATATAAAGTGATTAAGGTTTGAAAGGCTAATTTTCTCAAAGATAACATGAAAATTTAGTTGACAGGGCTTCCATGACATGAAATCACGGAAGGTTTTATGGAGTTCGGCTGACTTAATCTTTTCTAGGTTGTTTGATTACCATGGCCGTGTCCCTCCACCGCCCCGTGCAGTGATTCCACTGAAACGTCCTCGTGTGGCTGTGACAACAACTCGTAGGGGCAAAGGGGTTTTCTCCATGAAAGGAGCATCACGATCCACCTCAAGTGGGGCTTCTTCCTCAGGATCCAAATGTGAGTTGCTCATATCAGTTGAATATTATTGAAACAATGATCCTAGCAATTTCTGCAAGCAGACAGTTTCCACTGTATAGCTCTGTTGCAGTCATTTCCTATCCTCAGTCTCTAGCTTGAAAAACTGGCTGTTTTAGCAAAACTTCCAGGCCTTTCCTGCAAGTCAAGGAGCACACTGATGACACTTTTGAAGAAAATTCTTTCAACAACATTTGAGCTGCTTCCTTGGCCTCAGAAGAAGCCTGTTTAAAATCTTCTATCATCCCAACTGCTCATGCATCATGAGGTCTTGTGTACAGCTGGTACTGGAGCAAAGATAATAATCTTGTTACAGACAGAGGCACAATGACTTATATGGAGATGAGGGTTGTATGTAAGATGATGTGATGGGCTGGGAGGGGCAGGGGAGGTTGGGTTATATGTTCTTTTTTTACCAGATTCTTTTGAGGATAGAAAGAGGCAAAGTGTCTTTGTTTTAAAGGAAGTTCAAAACAGGATTGGCAACTTGGGGTTATTTAACCCTTCTTTAGTGAGCTGGCCTTAGAAGAGTTGATGAACAATAGGTATTCCCTCCTCCAAGTTCATCAAGCTCCCCACTACATAGTATGTCCTGGGAACTTCATCTTCCTCTTCGTGCATCTTTCAGCACCCACCCGTCTTCCCCTGCCCCTTATGTGGAGTGATACTGTCCTTGGAAGCGTCACTGGAAGAGGAAGAGAAAGATCAGGTAGGGATCAGATATTAGAAAGAATGGAGGGACTTCAATAAGACTTTTGCAGTACCAGAGTGGCCAACAAAACATCATGCTGTCTCACATGTGAATCCATCAACAGTACATCTTACTGCCAGAGGAGTTAATTATAGCATCAACAGTACCCAGTTATATATTGTGCTTGAATAACATATCCAAATCTCACACACTAGTATCTAACAAAGAAGTTGGACCTCTAGGGAGCCCACCAGGATCCACTCTTAATCCTACTGTATGACGAGATGATATCAGAGATCTTGAAGGAAAACATGTAATAAACATGTGACTGAAAGAACGGACATGTGGTAAACAGAACTAAAGGTAATGTTGTACACTCAGGAGAAAGGATCTCAAACCATCCTTGGAAAGGATAACATTCTGAAAAAGAGATGCTCTCTTGCCTGTACAGTTAAATCATTCATAAGTCTTCAGTGAATGAATGGTTAGATGTCCATTACCAAAAAGGGGAGTTTTCACACTTAGCAAACAGGAAGATATCTAAATTTAGATGTCATGTTATGAAGCTCACTCAGACCCTAAGAGGATTACTGGGAGTAGTAACACTTCCTTTGTTCTCTGGAAGATAAGCATGAGTCTAGATATTTTCATACACATCTTGAAGTAATCCACTTGTCCATAAATGCTTTTTGCCTTTCCTCAGTACTTTAAGTGATGAATTATGTTTTCTCCTATAAATTTAAAAGAAAGCATGCAGCTCAAGATCTTCAATTTAGAAAATTTGGAATTTAAATTATTTTGTTAGTCCTTTTCAGCCCTTGGGTCTCTGGATTTTCACACAGTGAATCAAAGCTTTAGTAAGTATATACGCTTACAAATTCATTCATTATATCTCATTTGTTCATCCTTTACTGTTGTTTTATCCATATGAATTGTTAGTCATATCAGTACATTCAATTTGCTAGTTATCCTAAAACATAATCTAATAAGAATGGGTTTTTTGGACTCGCTTTACCTTGAAAAGATGAATTATTTTCAGATAAGTACTTTACATTTTTTTCTCATTGCCCAGAACTAGAATAACTCTAAAGTTCTTCTAGAGAGCTGAGGATCTTAGTGTATTGCAACAGATGTCAAGAAGAACTCTTGCCCAGAAATCTGGATTTTCATTGTGGTGAATGAGACAGAAAATATTAGATTAACGTATAGATATCTCTTCCAAATATAGATATCACCAAATTGGCTTTACTATTTCTTCTGCATTTCAAAAAGTGTTTTGTAGTACCACGTCAGGACTTAAGTAAGACATATTATAGGATTCTACTCTGGTCCAAGTACCCGTAGTCACTTGCTATAAGACTTCCAAAATCCTGTCTGTGTAACATGGCAAGTGTTGCAGAACCTATAAATTATTCACTGGAAGCACAATCAGGAGTGCTCGGGTCCTAACAGACAGTGTTATGCCCCAGTGAAAGCATCCTTCAATGTACTCAGGTGTGATCTGAATTCTAAAAATGTCAGTCATAGAACTCCAAGTGACAAGATCATCCTTGGATTCAGCTCTTTAACATTTAAGGAAGAGTTGCAAGATGCATCACTAAAATATTGTTTGACAGTTTCACCTTTCTTGTGTTTCTACCCCTAGTTCTTTACAATGGCAATTGGAACAAAACTGCAGAGACTATTTATTGTGATGGAATAAATTGCACAAAAAATTCTTTCTGCATGTAGCACATCTTTAAAAGGAGTCAGACACACAGTATACAGATTTTCATACTTAATTTCCCCAAAGAATTACTTCCCTTTTTATGAAGTCCAGCCAACCCATCATAAAAGTAGAAACATGATTTTATTGACTTGAACAAGAATGTAATCAGCTTATTGTAAGACCTTTATCAGAGAAACAATGGAACTCAGGGGCTTCAATTTGGAAAGTGGAGAATGTATATTTTGTGGCTTCCTTTGCCATTTTCTCAGAGAAGTATGTTGAATTGTGGGATGAAGCAATTTAGTATTTTGTTGCCCCTCACTCTATGCTGCTAATCTGACCCCTTGAACTAAGGCACTGTTGATTCTAATCATAGTTTATTGCTAGTTAAATAAAGGATTCCTTCAATAAGGAGAAACATAGTTCTGGGAAGGAAACTATTTGGAATTTTAAATCAAATGTAACACCGTAAAACAGCTTAATTGCAAGTTCAAAATTAACAATGTCAAAATGGTATTGCCTATGCTTGAAAGATTTCACCCCCAAATATCAAAACCCTCATGAGATCACATCCTCTAACATACTTTTCAGATGTAAGTAGAAATCTTATAGACGTAAGTCTTCTCCTAGGTTTTCTCCACATTCGGACTGAATCCAGAAAATTAATACATACATATCATATTAAAGGTTAGAACACAGGAGAGCCCTCAGTCAAATTACCCAAATTAAAAGGACTCACTTCTGAAAACCAGCAATCCAAAGACGGGATTTTGTTGTGGCACAGAGCAAAAATGTTACAAAAATAAAAAATGCCTTGCTCGTTGATGAGTACATCTGCAAAAATAATGTCTGCCAGCACAGTAAATTCTTGCTTGACCAAAAAGTCACAATATGTGTTCTAAGTTTGCTTCCAAAACATGAAATAGGAAAATTTGATTTCTTTCCTAAATCTTTAATTTTCAAAGAGCAGTTGACAGTATTTTGTTTTCTTTTTAACTCCAAAGACTTGAAAACACTAAATCGGCATTTCCAAACTATTAGAAGTTATGCACAAAATTAAATGTTGGTGTGTAAATCACACATAGTAGTTCTTCATGCTAATAGTATGGAGCAGCAAATTCAGATCACTATGTAGAACTGGGAAAAATTCACTTTTTCTGACAATATAGAAATTAAAGCTCTCAGGGTATGCACTTTAATTTTACACATATAAAATAAGGAGGAAAATAATAATCAAATCTTTTATACCCCATTTACTTACGATTAAGGACTAGACACTTAAGATGTTACAATATGTATTGAATTATGTCTTTAAATGAATTAATTTTCACTCGTATAGTTTATATTTAGCTTCATCAGCTAACTGATTTTTTGGTGATAAGTAAATAATAAAATATGATAAAATAGTTTGTATTAAACTTGAAGGGCTTAGATAAAAATACATGACATTTTTTTCCAAAGAAATCTAAATCATGCTTTCTGGATGAATCAATTTGTATTTATGGCAAAAAGCTTTTCACAAATATAGCTGTAGTTCAACAGCAGCACTTTCATTTCTAAAAATGTGATTGACCTTAATATTACATTTCTTGTTTTCACCTGGGTGTAGATTATTTCCTTTGGCGTTAGATACATCAATGAAAGATGCACTCCAGAAGGCCCAAAGGGCTGGAAAGGGTCACTGAATCAAATTCCATACTGTTGCAAGTTGCTGCATCCTCTAATCCTTTACGCTTCATTTTAAAGTTAGTTAATGTTTGCATTTTTTCTGTCTCTGTTTCTTCTAATTTCCAACTTAGTTTGTTTCTCCTTTGTTCATATTCATTTGTTCTGCCAACACTGTGTTAGCATATAAGTTTTATTTCTTTTTACCTTCTTTTTTCTCAGGTAAGCAACCAAAATGCTTCTGTCACAGTACAGGCTGTATATGTAAAATGGAAACATTTTTATGGTCATCTTCACAGCCCTGCTCCATGCATACCTGCTAGAATTCAGTGGTTCAACCTGGACTCACACTATACTCCTTACACGAAGACATTACACTTCTCCATCTTTAGGAATACAGCATTTGACAAGTCCTAGCACTGCATTTTATTTCTCAGGGTTGCATTATAGTGATAGCCTACTGTCAACCCAATGACAATTCTGTCACTGTCTTTTTCTGCTGAGTGCTTTTTAGCCTTGGTGCTAAGAGTAGGAGTTCTGCTGTTACTCAATCCAGTGTAGGGGTTTTTTTCAGTGCAATTGTATCTCATAATTTTTTCTAATGTAACATTCCTTAAAATCACCTGACCCCTCCATCCATTCTAGTTCACTCTGAACTCACACCTTTCAATTTTATGCAATCCATAATTTTCATCTACTTATTTACTTTTTTTGCATCAAAGTTGCCTAAGATATTTAGTCATTTTGGTGCCAGTGCTTGAGGAATTTCACTAGTGATTTCTTTCCCTTTCAATACATGCATTTCTGTCAACTGCTTTACTTATCTGCTAAAAGGGAAAAAAACCCAAACAGTAAGCTACTTTAATTTCCTGTTCTATTACTCAAAAGCAGATGAACAGATATTTTGGACACATGAAGGTCTGATGTCATGCTTAACCAACAGCTTTATTTCTTGTCTGAGATCAATTAAAAAAAAATCCATGATGTTTTAAAGGAGAATTTGTATGTTCAAAGCAGGACACCTCAAGTACAGTATTTATAATCTCTACATTTTTTCTTTATCATAACACTGCTTAAAAAGCCTGAAGTTATTGAATCACACAGTCACAGGATGGTTGACCTTGGAAGGGATGTCTGGGGAGCCCAGAACTGGACACAGTACTCCAGAAGTGGACTCAAAAATGCTGATTAGAGAGGTGTACTGGGTTTGGCTGGGGTAGAGTTAATTTTCTTCACAGTAGGTACTGTGGGACTGTGTTTCGAATTCGTGCAGGAAGCAGTCTTAATGACACAGGGATGTTTCAATTACTGCTGAGCTTATACAGAGTCAAGGCCTTTTCTGCTTCTCACCCCACCACACCATGAGCAGGCTGGGAGGTGCCCAAGGTGCTGGGAGGGGACACATCTGGGATGGATGACCCCAGATGGCCAAAGAGATGTTCCATACCATGGTATCATGCTCAGCAATAAATTAGGGAGAAGGTTGCCCAGGGCTTGTTCAGGGACTGGTTGGGTAGGAACCGGTTGTTTTTTTCACTTACATTACTTCTATTCCTTGGGCTTTATTTCTCTCTCTGTTATTTTCATTTTCACTATTGTATTATTTTTATTTATTATTATTATTGTTATATTATTCTATTTCAATCAATAAAATGTTCTTATCTCAACTCACAAGTTTTCTCAGTTTTACCCTTTCTATTTTCTTCCCCCCCAGCCTCCTGGGGCTTGCAGGGGAGCAGAGCAAGAAACTGTGTGGTGCTTAGTTGCTGGCTGTGGTTAAACTATAACAAGGGAAAAGATCATGTCCCTCAATCTGCTGGAAAAAAAGAAAAACATCTCACTAATGCAGCCCAGGATGCTGACAGCCTTCTTTGTCACAAGGGTGTATTACTGGCTCATGCTCAACTTGTTTTTCATAAGGGTCCTTCAAAATTTTTCTTTAGTAATTGCTACTTTCTACAGAAATACCCACTACAATATTATTTGGAATGGAATTTCTCTAGGAGAAATTCCCCACAAGTTAAAACAATAGGCAACTCAAATTACACCTTAACTCTATTGGAAACAGGGAGAAAATTTGTTGTGCGGATTTGTTGAAAATTTTTTGTCTGTTTTTCTTTCAGTCTTTTTTAGTGTTAACTTGAAGTGATTGACTGTATGATCACAGAATCAAAGAATCATTTAGGTTGGAAAAGACTTTCAAGATCATCAAGTCCAGCTTTGACCAACTACCACCTTGTCAACTAGACCATAGCACTAGGTGCTACATCCAGTGCTTTCTTGATCACCTTCAGGGATGGTGTCCCCACAACCTCTCTGGGCAGTCCATTCCAATGTTCAAATTGTTCTTCCCATGGAGAAATTGCTCCTAATGTCCAAGCCGAACCTCCCCTGACACAGCTTAAGGCTATGTCCTCTGTCCTCTCACTTGTTACCTGTGAGAAGAGGCTGACCCCTACCTTGCTACAACCTCCTTTCTGGTAGTAGTAGAGTGATAACATCTCCCCTGAGCCTCCTCTTCTCCAGGCTAAACAACCCCAACTCCCTCAGCTACTCCTCATATGACTCCGTAGACCCTTCACCAGCTTCACTGCCTTCATTGCCCTTCTCTAGACTTTCTCCAGCGCCTCGTCTTCCTTGTAGTGTGAGGGGCCTAGAACTGGACGCGAGACTCAAGGTGTGACCTCACCAGTGCTGAGTACAGCGGCACAATCACTGCCCTGGTCCTTCTGACCACACTATTTTTGATACAAACCAGGATGCCATTGACTTTCTTGGCCACCTGGGCACACTGCTGGCTCACGTTCAGCCAGCTGCTGACCAGCACCCTGGCCCTTTTCCACTGGGCTTTGTTCTTTGAATCCTCATTGCTGTGTCTGTGTTCCCTCTGGTGCTGTCTTCTTCACAATCTGTTTTTTCTAGGGACACCACAGGGAAGACCCTGTGCAGCAGAAGGTTTGACCTGAGTTGAACAGCAACCCTATGTATGTGCCTGTTTCCTTACCAAACTCAGATGTGTAAATGTCTTCTGCTTGGCTTAGTAGACTGGAAACAAATACCATTAGGTCCTTGCAGTGTCACTTCTGAGTTTTGACCTTTTAGGCTTGGCCACACTTAAGTTTGCCAAGCAAGGCACCATCTCTGACACAACAGCTTGGCCGCACGAGATGTGTTGCCAGCTGGCTTCACAGTGGGTTGTTGTGAACACTTAGTGTTTCCCGTTGGACCAATTCACACCATTTCACTCTGCACTACCTTGCTACTCCAGCATGGACCAGCCACTGCCCCTGAGGAAGCAGTAACCTTCTGAATATACAGTTGTCAAAATCTTAACATTTTGTTTCAGATCTGGAGGATTGGACAGTGACGTGTTATTTCTCTAAGAACATTTCAAGGCCTTGCTCTATAAGTATACTAAGTAATTCCATCAAATACTGTGTAACATATGAGTCTAGCACAAAGTTTATTTTTATGCTTTTTTCCCTAAGTCCTACAGTTCATTCAATATGAGATCAGAGGTTTCAGCCTATGATAATGTGAGATAATGCAATTTTTCAACATGAGCACATGATTAAACAAGTGCATTACTGCATATAGCAACCTACTGCCTTTAGCTGATGTTATGACTGTAATGCACATAACCCATACTCTAAGATAAAAAACCTTGCTTTCAACCTCAGTGAATGTGTTACAAGTTTGGAATAAAGCTGATTTGAAGCAAACACACACTTATTTACTACCACTGAAGCAGGCAATAACCTGTCTGCACACTTCATCATCACATTGACTGCCCAAAACAAATTTGGGTATGATGAGATACAAGACACCATGATGATATACATGCCCAAAAGTCAATGAACAGGACTGATATAGCAAGATGCAGCCAGGAGATCCTTTTGACAGAAAGGAAACATGTCCTTCTTCATAGCAGAACATCCCTTTTCCTGGGCACAAACAGGGCCCTCCTATTGTGTATATTGATGCTCTGGATACTGACACCAAAGTCAATTCATATCCTCCTACAGCAGTGGTAAGGATGGATAAGTAACACAGCTCTTCCATTGCTAGTCCCTCACAGTGGTGGTCCATTTCTTCCTACAAGATTTGTAAGAATGACAGTTGCGTTACCTACTCTTGCCCTTTATAAATGTCTTTATTCTCCTATGCTAGCACAAGGTTCCCATTTTCTTGTCTTGACCTTTTCCACATGATATCCTAGCACAAACAGGGCAAGTGAATTTGGTTGGACTACTTACTGAGCATAAAAACATGTCCTGATAATGCCGTAATAATGAGGTCATTTATGAGGGCTGCAGTGCTGTTTCTTTTGAAGCCAAAACACCTCCAAAGCAGTTACTCCTTCTTACGTTAGACAATGGGAGTGCAATAAGGAACAAAACTGAAGAGTAATGCAAGGCAACAAAGATTTGGAAACTTCAGCTATGAATTTATAGGTGTTGCCTCCATGTCCTTGTCTGTGCTCATAAAACGAAATATTTTCATATATTATCCATAACTGGAAAAAGTACAAAAAATCACCAGAACTGAAAGCTTTTGAAGCAACAAAATTTAACACCTATTGCAAGGAAGCTTTTGTCTGGAACATAACGTTACTTTCCTGGCTGCCCTAGCACTTATATTACTATTCACTCTTGCTGAAAAATATGTACTGTGAGGGATCTTTTTATTGTTGTCACTATTATACAAAATAGTTCAACAAAATCTCATTGCAAGACTGGGAGTTGTTGGTGATATTTGAATCAATATTTCACTATAGGCTGTTTTTCAGTAAAAGTGACTTGGATTTATGAAGAATGCCCTTGAGATATTTTGCCTGAAATTATTATTACAGAACAATACACATCACATGGACTCTTGCCATCGGGGCTTAGAATCCTCTGATTTCCTAGGATTCAGCCTTTTAACTAAAAATGTTAATGTTAAAAGCTAAATCTCTAAAAATACTGACAGAAATGAAGGAACAGACTTTCTACTAGAGAGAAAAGAAAAAAGAGTATGTTTTGCTTGAGTGGGGGAAGGTCACCACAAATATAGTTTATTTCATGGTTTGCATTTTACTCTCTTTCCACAGTGAAATCAGATGAGTTGCAAACAATCAAGAAGGAATTAACCCAAATCAAAACAAAAATTGACTCCTTGCTAGGGAGACTGGAAAAGATTGAAAAGCAGCAAAAAGCTGAAGCAGGTAGGTAAAAGCAATTTGTAGTGAAATGGATTAAATTAGAACCTTGTTACCAGTCAAGCAGATAGACAAAAGAGAATGGAAGCTTTCCAGAAATTTTGCTACATAATGAAGGCCTGAAGCAAGGTAAATTAACTCTCAGGTAGAACTATTATGAGGATAGATTAATATTCTTTACAGAGCATGCACCATCATCGCAAGAATTGCTTTCTATGGCGTAGTAGGAAAAAAAAAAATCTTTCTAGATGTTCTGGAAACAAAACATTTCTAAAACCTGACTGAACAGAAGTAAGTTAGAGCTTGTTGACCATGGGGACATTAGCGCTATCCACATTAAGAATTATTAGCTGGTCTATATCAATGATTATTGCCTGAGCAATAGGCAATGGTCACAAGTTGAAGCAAGGAAAAATTTCTATTTGATATAAGGAAAAGAGATGCAACTAAGCAATATGGCAGGTTGCCCAGAGAGACTGTAGGGGCTCCACCCCTGGAGATGTTGAAAACTCATTGGGCCAAGATCCCATGGACAAATCCAAGTCTGTCCCTGACTGGACTGGAGTTGAAAAGTCCAGAAATCCCTTCCAACCTCAGTTTTTGAGTGAAACTATGGCCTCTTTGTAAAATTGGCCACACCTCTAGTTTAGCTTTTCTCTGGCTTAAAATGTTTTGTTTAGAAGCAAACCTTGGAAATAATGAAGTCGAACTCTGCTTTATAGTTTAATCGAGATCTTTATTACTGTCATTCCAGTGTTCATTTCTTTAGCTGAATGATCTCACTTGGCAGCACTTTAAAGTCATGCTGAGAGTTACAAGGTTGTATTTTCACCATGGTATATATAGAAAACAATCTCAATTCTTATGACTGTCTATGATGTTTTCTTTGCCATTTCCTTATAGATTACATGGTATACCTTTGTACAGGAGCTGATTTGGTTGAGAGCCAGCAGGCCAATGGCAGATGTACCTCATGAAAAACTCAATGATTTTTTCCCTGCTCCATTCATTGATGAAAACTTATTGCGCACTGTGTGTGAAATGTGTGAAAGAAATTCTGCCTCGGAACCCACAGCTGCCTGGGTGTTTGGGCGGTAGCGAGCTACATGAAGCCAAAAATCCCATCAGGATACATAAAAAGACTTCCATCAAGACTGAGTAAAACATTACTGGGAATTAGCAGTTGAGGGCCATGGACCTGACATGGGCAATATAGATATTTAGATCTGGATCCCTCCTGTTCCCAAGTAACTTTATAAAAAGGAAAACCACTTAAAAAAATAAACTACCTTCTCTTTAGAATCACTTTCTAAGTCTCTTTTGACAACAAGGACAAATCCCTCAGCTGTTATATTTTATCTCACAAAGTTGAGGGTTTTTTTCAAGTCTAAGGTAAATCATTAGTACAGAGTTTGATTATCTCTTTCAGGAGAACTGTACACAATATGTGTTCATTATATTCTATTTTGAACTTTATGCAAGTTAGACAAAGTTGGTATAATCAGTGAAGATGTAATTACAAGGCATTCCATTGAATCACTTGTGTACTGAAATACTCTGAGATGGTGCATCCCTACTTTAGGGAGCTTTTATATAAAATCCATTACTATGCAAAACAATCTGCACATCATTGTACTTTGATATCCAATTTTCACTTTTGCTAATGGACTGTAGTGAATTCATTTAAATAGAAATCAGCTCAAGGAGGAAAATGTTGATTTGTATTGAATCATAGTGTTACGCCTTTTGAAGACAAGCAATGAATATCCTGAAATTGCAAAGTGGTTTCAAAATGTTGAAGTTTTAAAACATCAGGTGCAGAACCCATCCCCCATATCCCTTGCCTCTCAATGGAGTGTGTGAGGAGAAAAACACCTCTGAGATACCAGTAAGCATGGAAACCCATTTAAGCCTCCTGAGCTGACGAGGAGAGTCATGCAGCCTGGCTGATTAGTCTGCAGATGATTGATTCGTCAGCTAAAAGATTTGTGTAAGCTACATCAGTAGCTAAACCATTTCATTTACAGTCTCAGACATGAGATGATGAGATGATTTTATTCCTTCTCTGTGATTTGGCAATATTAATTCTTACTTTCCTCTGTCAGAAGGTGTGGCCTCGCTAAGAGTGGGATCAGAGAGAGGATCTCTGTCTCATTTACACAAAACAAAAATCAAGCCATCATCTTGTCCTTTTGGTTTTTTAGGTTTGAAGCACTACCATGAAGAATATTTAATGTTTAATCTTAAAAGTTGTTACATCTGGAGGAATGTGACAGGTTACAAGTGGACAAGCTCAGTGCATACATTGGTTGCTGCTCTACAGCTGCATGAAAACTCTACTTACAGTACCAGCTGATGTTCTATCTTTTTCTGTTATTAAAACTCAACCATTCCAATAGGGAGAATATAGATAATAGGATTTCCTACACATAGGAAAATTGTAGGAATACCTCTGTTGTTTGTAAAAATCTGAATCAGGAAGCCGGGAATGTTTTCATGTGACAAAATTGTTAAAGAATATTCTCCCTGTAATATTAGAGATAGGGGCTAAAAGTTAGGATCTTAAGTTTAGCTTCCCAATAAAGACCAAAAGAGTTGGGTACTGAGGTGGTATTTTAGACTCCTCTGAAGAATCAAGTGTATGTTCTCATTAAGACAATTAAGTGACCTAATTTTTTAGCAGCTGTATCCTAGAAAGTTTCTCATTAAATGTATTGAGTCTGTCATTTTAGCAAACCTTTTTTAAAAGCCTTGACCAAAGTTGATTCAGTTGTCACTGCCACAGCTGAGTGTTCTCAGAAGTGGTTTGAGACAGGAAGTGGTGGGGCCAGACATAGTAGGCATAGCTGATTCAATCCACAGTTCTTTATGCAGTAAGGCAAGTAACACAATGACTTATAACTAGCATGATATTTTACAAAACACCTTACCAATAGAAGATGAGGCTCCATGGGCTGAATCTTCTGCTAATACAGTACTGTTGGAGCAGCTATCTAAGATGACTTTTAATTCTTTAAATGCAAGAATCTTTCTGAAAACATTAGGTGACTAAGGGAGGAAAGCTTAATTGTTCTGTGTCTTCAGTAAACCAATTTGAAAATGAGGGGCTAAAGACTAAGAAAGGTTAAAGAGATGAATGCGACAAAATAAATGTGCAAAGGCAAAAGGTAAAACAAATGTCTTGCTTTAAGACTATGGTACAGAAAAATACAAGCAGATTTGAATAGTATGTGTAGCTGATAATAATTTAAGGTAAAATAATAATATGTTCATAGACCTGAAAAATATAGAGCTCCAAGGCAATCCTTGATTCATTGGCTGTCCAACAAGATACATGATGCACTACTAGCGCTACAGAACAGTCAGTCTTATAAAGAAAGAAATGGTTTTGTTCTAGAAATTTCAGCATTCATCACCCTCATACTGAAAAGACATTGTTTTTCTAGCTACCAGTGCAATCAATTCTCTGGCCCCTATTCCCTTTGAGTATATAAAGCTTTTCATCTAAGCTCCCGATGTCCAGAGGAATAAGACTTTATCCCTCCAACCACTCTTCTGGCTAGTCAGTCTCTGTCATTTCTCCATCAATCCTCCTCTGGATTTCTGCTGCTGGATGAAGTTCATCAGCATATCCAGGAGTTTTGCAATACTTAATCATAACAACACAGATATCTGCATGAAGCCAACCAGAACAGATACTTCAGGCCTCCATGGAAATGGTCTTTCTTTTCACCATTTTGCAAAAATATAGCAAGCCTATATGAGGGTAACTGGAGAGGGGCATTCTCCAGTTAGTTCAGCATATTATGTCAATGAGGAGTAACTGTCACTTTACTCCATAAAAAACATAATAAACCTGACTAGAAAGATTTGTTGATTATCTATAAAGTTGTTGAGATATATTCACAGGAAATTCATGCAAATTCTTGTTCAGTTATTAGAAATTAACAGCCTTCCACTTAGAGCATAGAGATTTATGTACTTCTCATTGGCTGCATATAAATAAATATATGGTAACTATGCCAATTGGATTCCCAAGGCAAAGTCAAGTAGAGAAAATCAAAAAGCTGGATCCACTGGTAAATGAAGCCTTCATCCACTGCATGGGATAGATGATAGGTGACCATATTGATACTGTGAATGATTTATACACTAATTTTTGAAAACAAGGTTTTCAATCCTATTTGCCTGGTAGATATTATCACACTGAGTTTTACAAAGCTAGCACATCTGGAGATGGAAAGCTTAGGTTTCTTCCTCAGAGCACTTCCCTTTGCCACCAATAGGAAAAGTTACTGAATCTCTATAGAGTATGTTTTCCTTACAGAAGCCCAAAAGAAACAAATGGAAGATAATGCTGATTTGATTCAAGAGGAATGCATATCAGAGAATGCAGATAACTCTACGGAAGAGCCAATTGAAGGAGGGCCAGATGCAGATGGGGATGGAGAAGATATGACTGATGGGATAGAGGAGGATTTTGATGAGGATGGCAGCAATGAGCTGGTAAGGAATAATCACGCCATGTCTGTCTATATGGTTCCTACAAGTAACCACAGAGAACCAACAGTTTGGATTAACAAAATAAGCTCACAGCAACACTGTGATGTTCTGTAACTAGTGCATAGTCTTACACTCTTCTTACACTACAGTATCAATTAAGAATAGGAACCTCTGAGGAGAAACAAGAAAAATATATTTTACTACACTTTGTTATTTTAGAAAGGAAATTAAGTGTACATGAATTCGTTTACATTTATTATTTTTCGTTTACTGAAATGTAGATGAGAAAGGAAATTACAGTGTGCTTTTTTTTTTTTAACTGAAACATTTCAAAACTAGACAAGATTCTAGAATGGTGAACCTTTTTGTTAGTAAACAAGCGCTCCTCCACAGTCCCCAGTCCTTATCTTCCATGTATATACTCTACAGTGTTGGCAGATACAGATATTTTTGATGGAAGGATTTTTCCTTAGATGTGTTTGGCTAAGAAATATTTGGGTTTTCAGCCTGAGGCTGCACCTTTCCTGAAATGCCCATCATGGTGCTAAACTCGTTAAGTTCTTCTAGAGCAACACTAAAAAATATTTGGAAAGTCAAATTTATACCTTTTTATGCATTCCTAATAAGAATGGAACAGTCACATTGGTTTAGATTCTGTAATACCCTCCATCTCTTCCTGGCTTTCACATTCTTCTGCTTTGAGAAGAAAGCACTTCTGTTGCTCATTGTCATTGCTTGCTATTTAACACAGATTTACTCATGAGTGCACTGTAAAGATCATTCAGTGAATCCAACAGAAGTCAGTTAGCAAGGGACCCTGATGAACCAGCAGCAAGTCTGGAGCAACAGAGCATGTGAATAATCAGTGGTTTGTATTGATTGCTGCAAATGCAATTTAAACCTACTTTTAATTTGCAGGTTTGTGTCCCTTTAGCCAACACAAGACCCTCTTGATTTTATATCCCCTGAATAGTATTATCCCCAGGAGAAGCTACTACAACCTGAATCCTCTCATCCTTCAACAGGGAGATTTTGAAAGAAATTAGAGGAAAAAAGAGAGCTTACCAACTATGGAAAAAAGGGCTGACTACTCATGAAGGAATATAGTTAGGAATATAGTTAGGTCATGTAGAAAGAAAATTAGGGGGACAAAGGCACAATTTGAACTTAATCTAACCACTTCTGTTAGGGATTAACAGAAGCGTTTATACAAATACATCAATAGCATAAAGCCCCCCTGTAATCCAGGAGGAAACAGTTAGCGACCTGCTGAGTCACTTGGATCCTCATGAGTCTATGGGACCAAATAGGATCCATCCTAGGGCAATGAGGCAGCTGGCGGAAGAGCTCGCCAAGCTGCTCTCCATCATCTACAAACAGTCCTGGCTCACCAGGGAGGTCCCTGATGACTGGAAGTTGGAGAATGTCATACCCATCCACAGAAAGGGCTACAAGGAGGACTCGGGAAACTACAGGCACATCAGCCTGACCTCAGTGCCTGGCAAGGTTATGGAGAAGATTGTCCTAAGTGCAATTGCACAACACCTACAAGATGGACAAGGGATCAGACCTAACCAGCACAGGTTTAGGAAGGGCAGGTCCTGCCTGACCAACCTGATTTCCTTTTATGATCAGGTGACCCACCTGGTGGTTGTGGATGTAGTCTATCTGGACTTCAGCAAAGCCTTTGACACCGTCTCCCACAGCATACTCCTGAAAAAGCTGGCAGCCCGCAGTTTGGACAGGGGCACTCTCTGCTGGGTTAGGAACTGGCTGGAGGACCAGGCCCAGAGAGTGGTGGTGAACAGTGCTGCATCCAGTTAGCAGCCAGTTACTAGTGGTGTCTCCCAGGGATCAATGTTGGGCCCAGTCCTGTTTAATATCTTTATTGATGATCTAGATGAGGGGATCAAGTGTACCATTAAAAAATTTGCAGATGACACCAAGTTGGGGGGAGTGTTGATCAGCTGGAAGGCAGAAGGGCTCTTCAGAGGGACCTGGACAAGCTGGAGAGATGGTCTGATTCCAACAAGGCCAAGTGCCAGGTCCTGCACTTTGACCACAACAACCCCCTGCAGCACTACAGGCTGGGGACAGAGTGGCTGGAGAGCAACCAGGCAGAAAGGGACCTGGGAGTTTGGATTGACAGGAACTTGAACATGAGCCAGCAGTGTGCCCAGGTAGCCAAGGCGGCCAATGGCATCCTGGCCCGTGTCAGGAACAGTGTGGCCAGCAGGACCAGGGAAGTGATTCTTCCCCTGAACTCAATGCTGGTGAGGCCACACCTGAAGTACTGTGTCCAGTTCTGGGCCCCTCAGTTCAGGAAGGATATTGAGGTGCTGGAGCAGGTCCAGAGAAGAGCAATGAGGCTGGTGAAGGGACTGGAGCACAAGTCCTATGAGGAGAGGCTGAGGGAGCTGGGGTTGTTCAGCCTGGAGAAGAGGAGGCTCAGAGGAGACCTCATCACTCTCTACAACTACCTGAAAGGAGGTTGTAGCCAGGTGGGCGTCAGTCTCTTCTCTCAGGCAATCAGCAGTAGGACAAGATGGCATGGTCTTAAGCTCTGCCAGGGGAGGTTTAGGTTGGATATTAGGAAGAAATTTTTTTACGGAGAGAGTAATCAGACTCTAATTGGAATGGGCTGCCCAGGGAAGTGGTGGATTCTCCGTCCCTGGAGGTTTTTAAGATGAGACTGGATGTGGCACTTAGTGCCATGGTGTAGTAACCATGGTGCTGATGGATCAAGGGTTGGATTGATGGTCTCAGAGGCCTTTTCCAACCTGGTTGATTCTATGATTTTGTGACTCTATGATCTTTTAACATGCACAGAAGAACAAATGATATTATACTTTTTTCTCAAAGGGACAGGTTCTCCTGTGCAAGTATGAGGGATGTCTGTAAGAAGCTGTCACTCTGAATTTGTAGGAATTTGAAATATTGTAATTAATAAATAATTGTAAATATATTCTCCCACCATGGCTAATACCTGACCAGCTGAAGTGACATTAGCAATAGGAGTGATCACAGTTTAACAAGACTGGTAGGTTTTACAGTAATTAGGCATTAGACTCCTATTAGACAACTCAGTGGGGATATTGATATACAGTATATTAGCCTCTGATTGCTCAGTACTGTCGTTTCACCCTGTGGGTATGACATATTTAGCATGTATCTACACTACATAATGACACATGAGGTAGAAGAATTTTTTCGTCTCTCAGAGGCCTCAGTAAGAAAAGATCTAAAAAGCAAGTAGCATAGAAAGTTATGTTGATCAATATGGCCAAGGCTGAGATGTTGTTTCAGGGAGTCCTTGAATCTTCTCTTCGGGGCTCCTCTCTTGCGGCAGCCAGTGGCAAGTTCACCGTAAAGCAAGATCTTAGGGAGACGATGGTCCTTCGTCCTGGAGACGTGCCCTGCCCAGCACAGCTGTGTTCTCAGCAACATGGCCTCTATACTTGTGATTGCTGCTTGTTCTAGAACAGATGTATTGGTCACATAATCTGACCAGTGGATGTTTAGGATTGAACGGAGACAGCGTTGATGGAAGCGTTCTAGGAGACACAGGTGGTGGCGGTAGATGACCCATGATTCAGATCCATATAAGAGAGTAGACAGCACTATGGCTCTGTAAACACCGATCTTTGTACTTTTCTTCAGGTGTTTGTTTCACCAAACTCTTTTATGGAGTTTTCCAAAAGCACTATATGCCTTTGCTAACCTGTTGTCTATCTCCCTGTCAATCTTACCATCCGAGGAGATGAGGCTACCTAGGTAATTAAACTGCTGGACTGATTTGAGCTCTGATTGGCCAATGGTGATATGGGGATGATGGAAGACTTCCTGAGGTACAGGTTGATAGAGAACTTCTGTCTTCTTTAGACTGACTTCCAGCCCAAAGAGCTCAGCAGTGTCTGCAAAGCAGGATGTTAAATGCTGCAGAGCTTCTTCTGTATGAGCAACAAGGGTGGCATCATCAGCATAAAGCAGCTCCCAGACAAGATGGTTTAAGGTCTTAGTGTGGGCCTTCAGTTGCCTTAGGTTGAAAAGGCTTCCATCAGTACGATATTGAATGTAGATACCATCCTGATCATCAAGGTCTGCCATGGCCCTTTGGAGCATCATGCTGAAAAAGACTGTGAATAGGGTTAGTGTGAGAACACAGCCTTGTTTCACACCATTAGTTATTAGAAAGGGCTCAGAAAGTGCATTGCCAAGCACTTTCTTTCATCTATACTTTTTACCTAAACAGTCAGCAGTATTAACCAGTACTTTTATGATCTGAAGCTAGTAGTTTTTGATGCAGATTATAATTTAGACTCTTTTACACTTGTACTTACATATACTTATGTAGATATAATGGCCAATTTCTATAAGCTTTATTTTCTACTCCAGTCATTGATAGTTGTATAAAGGAAAAGTCAGTATCAATACTATCAAATTTATAGTGAACACCCCAGAAGGAATACTTGGAATTTCATTCTGCTTCTACCCATTCTGTACCCTGTTATCTGAAATTGCCCTCTGTTTTGTGAAAAGTAAAGTAGATGTATAAACTCGTTATAAAGCAAGAAGTCTTAACAGCTGTTGTTATTCTGTTTTATAAAGACTAAATTATTTAGGACAAGACTTGACTAATAGTAAATGTGTCATTTTGTAATGGAGCCAGTTACAAGTCTTTTTGGGAAAAAAAAAAAAAGGTTTTTAAAGCAAGAAAAGTGTTAAATGTGAAATAATTAAGACAAACTTTCCATGGGTAAAATCATAACCTTGGACTCGGAAAAATAAATGCCTTCCAAAGGACATTTCTTAATGAAATCTATAATGTTTTCCAAATATATAGCTAAAGGGGTTTAGGACAATGATTTAAAAATATTTTCTTTCATCACTAAGGCCAGCAGAGGAAATAGAAAAATATTTTAAATGGGCATAACTAATGCTCTGAAGTCCATTCAGCACAAAAATTTAGTTGTGAGTCCACTAGCATGAAAAATATTATTAGA